AAAATAGAATAAAAAGACATTTGTACTTAGTGTTAGAAGAGGATACATGAGATTTCTAGGACACAAAATAAGGAAAGAGGGATTGGAAAATTTGACACCCACAGGACGCAAGAGGTGCACAGTGAAGCATCGAGTAAACTACTTATTGATGGTGAGAAAAATGGATGTTAGAATAGGGACGGGGAGAGATAATAAGGATAAAAACATTGCTTAGAGCTACAAAGGAAAGGAAGTTGTGGAGAGTCATGATCGCCTACGGTACATAAAAGAAGATATATATCTAGATTAGTTACTACGTCTAGCTTAGCCAGTAATATGAGTAGGGCAGTTGGGGGAGACAGTAAGCAATGAGTCCGTTGTATAGTAAAATAAAATAGCCCGACAAAGGTTTGCGTGCATTTGTGTCTGTGGAGTGACGTGCATATATAAAGTTCTATCTATGCGCAGAGTGTCTCGATTGTTTATGTGTAGCGTCTACCCATGTGTGCAGGGCCTGCGCGTTCGCTTTGACGCCGAACTTGGCACATGGTCGATTGCTTGAGAAAAAAAAGGAAAATTGTCACGGGATATAAATTTGGACACTGTGAAAACGTCACTGGGTGCAAACGTATTTCCACTGATTTATAATGTAACAAATAGAAATAAAATTTCGTTTAACTGAAAAAATCAGAAAGTACACGCGCGTAAGTATTAGTCAGTACGAAAAGGTGACATTTGTAAATGTATATTTAGTGAGCTAAATCTGCCATAGGGCCAAAGATGTGCGGATCCAACTTAGTCATAAGGCAAGTCCTGTATAAAATATTTAAAAAAAAAAAAAATTATAATCAACACAAGGAAGAGACAGTTGGAATTACTGGGGTACATACTGAGGAAAGGTGGCTTAGAAAATGCAACAATAATAGGACGTATTAATTCAGGAGAGAGAGGATCAGCTTGATTAGCAGAATAGTGATTAGGGTTGCCCACATACTAAAGGAACACAACACGACGACGACGACAACAACGACAAAGAAGAAGAAAAAGTAAAAGAAGAAGGAGAACAAGAAAGAGAGAGATTGTGCCTCATTAGCAACACAAATTATTATGTGAAGGAGATCATGAATTAATAGCAGCCCAAATTATTATCCAAAAGTGATTGTGGCTCATTAGCAACACAAATTATTATATGAAGGAGATCATAAATTAATAGCAGAACAAATTATTATCCAAAAGAGATTGTGCTTCATTAGCAACACAAATTATTATATGAAAGACATCATGAATTAATAGCAGCCCAAATTATTATACAAAAGAGATTGTGCTCATTAGCAACACAAATTATTATATGAAGGAGATCATGAATAGCAACCCAAATTATTATGTGAAAGACATCATGAATTAATAGCAGCCGAAATTATTATCCAAAAGAGATTATGGCTCATTAGCAACAAAAATTGTTATATGAAGGAGATCATGAATTAATAGCAGCCCCAATTATTATCCAAAAGTGATTGTGGCTCATTAGCAACAAAAATTATTATATAAAGGAGAACATGAATTAATAGCAGTCCGCATTATTATCAAAAGAGATTGTGTCTCATTAGCAACACAAATTATTATATGAAGGAGATCATGAGTTAATAGCAGCCCAAATTATTATGTGAACGAGATCATGAATTAATAGGAGCACAAACTATTATCCAAAGGAAATTGTGGCTCATTAGCAACACAAATTATTATATGAAGGGGATCATGTATTAGTAGCAGCCCAAATTATTATGTGAAAAAGATCATGAAATAATAGCAGCCCGAATTATTATGTGAAGGAGAACATGAATTTATAGTAGGCCAAATTATTATCCAAAAGAGATTGTGGCTCATTAGCGACACAAATTATTATTTGAAGGAGATCATGAATTAATAGCAGCCCAAATTATTATATGAAGGAGATCATGAATTAATAGCAGCCCAAATTATTATCCAAAAGAGATTGTGGCTCATTAGCAACACTATTTATTATATGAAGGAAATCATGAATTAATAGCAGCCCAAATTATTATCCAAAACAGATTGTGGCACATTAGCAACAGAAATTATTATATGAAGAAGATCTTGAATTAATAGCAGCCCAAATTATTATGTGAAGGAGAACATGAATTTATAGAAGCCCAAATTATTATGTGAAGGAGACCATGAATTAATAGCAGACCAAATTGTTATGTGAAGGAGGTCATGAATTACTAACAGCCCAAATTATCCAAAGGAGATTGTGGCTAATTAGCACACAAATTATTATGTGAAGGAGATCATGAATTAATAGCAGCCCAAATTATTATGTGAAGGTGATCATTAATTAATAGCAGTCCAAATTATTGTATGAAGGAGATCATGAATTAATAGCAGCCCAAATTATTATCCAAAAGACATTCTGACTCATTAGCAACAGAGATTATTATCTAAAGGAGATCACGAATTAATAGCAGCCCAAATTAATATGTGAAGGAGATGATGAATTAATAGCAGACCAAATTATTATGTGAAGGAGATCATGAATTAATAGCAGCCCAAATTATTATGTGAAGGTGATCATTAATTAATAGCAGCCCAAATTATTATATGAAGGAGATCATGAATTAATAGCAGCCCAAATTATTACCCAAAAGAGATTCTGACTCATTAGTAACAGAAATTTTTATGTGAAGGAGATCATGAATTAATAGCAGACCAAATTATTATGTGAAGGAGATCATGAATTAATAGCAGACCAAATTATTATGTGAAGGAGATCATGAATTAATAGCAGACCAAATTATTATGTGAAGGATGTCATGAATTACTAGCAGCCCAAATTATCCAAAAGAAATTGTGGCACATTAGCAACACAAATTTTTATATGACGATCATGAATTATTAGTAGCCCAAATTATTATCCAAAAGTGATTCTGGCTCATTAGCAACACAAATTATTATGTGAAGGAGATCATGAATTAATAGCAGCCTAAATTATTATGTTAAGGAGATCATGAATTACTAGGAGCCGAAATTATTATCCAAAGGTGATTGCGTTTCATTAGCAACACAAATTATTATATGAAGGAGATCATGAATTAATAGCAGCCTAAATTATTATCCAAAACAGATTTTGGCTCATTATCAACAGAAATTATTATGTGCAGGAGATCATGAAGTAATAGCAGCCCAAATTATTATGTGAAGGAGATCATGAATTAAGAGCAGCCCAAATTTTTATCCAAAAGAGATTGTTGCTCATTAACAACACAAATTATTATATGAAAGAGATCATGAATTAATAACAGCCCAAATGTTTATGTGAAGTTGATCATGAATTATTAGCAGCCCAAATTATTATCCAAAAGAGATTGTGGCTCATTAGCAACACAAATTATTATATGAAGAAGATCATGAATTAATAGCAACCCAAATTATTACCCAAAATATATTGTGGCTCATTAGCTACACAAATTATGATATGAAGGAGTTCATGAATTAATAGCAGCCCAAATTATTATGTGAAGGAGATCATGAATTAATAGCAGACTAAATTATTACGTGAAAGAGATCATGAATTAATAGCAGCCCAAATTATTATCCAAAAGTGATTGTGTCTCATTAGCAACACAAATTATTATATGAAGGAGATCAGTAATTAATAGCAGCCCAAATTATTATCCAAAAGAGATTGTGGCTCATTAGCAACAAAAATTATTCTATGAAGGAGATCATGAATTAATAGCAGCCCAAATTGTTATCCAAAGGACATTAGGAGTTAATAGTAATCAAAGTTATTATTTAAAGATGATTACTGGTTAATAGCAGCCCAAATTATTAGCTAAACGATATTATGGAATAATCGCAACTTAAATTCTTATCCAATGGAAATTATGGGTTAATAGCAGTGACTAGTATTATCTAAAGGAGATAATCGCTTAATAATGGAGCAGATTATGCAAACCATCGTGCAAATTGTGAGATAACCATGAAATTTGGCATAATTGTCCCTGCTAGTTTTTTTTTTTTCAGAAAAAAGTGCTAGCCACGAAAAAATCCAATATGGCTGCCATTTTTCAAGATAGCTGACAACTGGCCTCTGTTTCATGCATTTTGCTCTAAAATCATAGTGCAAATTGTGATATAAACATGAAATTTGGCAGGAATGTTCCTGGTAGGTTATTCAGGTGAAAGTGGTAGCCACAAAAAAATTTCAATATAGCAGCTTTTTTTCGAGATGGCCGCTAAACGGGCCTCTGTTTCATGGTTTTACTCAAAAACCATATTACAAATTGTGATATAAACTTGAAATTTGGCACGAGTGTTCCTTGCAGGTCTGTTTTCAGATAAAAGTTCTGGCATTGTGAAAACAACATGGCGGCCATTTTTTTCAAGATGGCAGCCAGTGCCTCATAGTGGCAGTTCATCGGGGAGGCAGAGTAGGGCAGTTAATTGATAAGATACATCCAAGAGACAACATTCAAATTGAAATGTGAGGAGATATGAAGAGAGTGTATGTTGCTCACTACCAGGGCACACTGGTGACAGACACTGCTGTGGAACTCAGCATGGGGTTCAATGTCAGCTAAACATGGAGTTTAGTATCCCAAATTCTATCTAGTAGTCCCTAATTTATTAGATAGACGTACCTGAATGGACAGGTTTTGCCAACGCGGGAGAGCCGAGCCAAAGATAACAGGGGCTTTTGAAGTTATCTGGATGGTGTACAGATCACACGGGATTCAAATGGCATTGGATGAACGATCGGGCTAGGTGTAGGGCAGTTGCGTGAACCTAGTTGTATCCCATATATCAAAGTGAGCGAACGATGGTAAAAGGATAAACCCCCGTCCGTTCCTATCAAATGATGGATAAAGATTCCACATCGAAAACTGATTGGAGCAAATGATGCCTTTGTCAGCAGAAAAAAAGCAAAGAAACCCTCATTTCACCTCTTAGTTCATTCCAGAGGAAGCAAGATTATGCTGTTGTTTTATCCCATCAATGATATGCCGATAGCACTTGACCCTTCAAGGCTTGATGAAGATGAAGGTATAGAAACCACTCTGGTTCGAAATAGAGCTAAATATCATCAGAGTTGCCGATTGCTGCTCAACAACACCAAGTTAGAAAGAGCAAAGCAAAGAAGAGCGGTACCGAGCACCCCCGGAGCAACGGATGAACCTCGAAGCAAGAGACGAAAATCTGCAGACATTCCAAAAGTGGAATGTTTCTTCTGTGAAGAAGAAGATGTTATTTCGAATCTGCAAGAAGGGATGACAGCGAGACTAAATGAACACCTCAATCAATGTGCCAGAGCCCTGAACGATGGAAAGCTCCTTGCAAAGTTAAGTAGCGGAGACGTTGTTGCCCTGGAGGTTAAGTACCACCTTTGTTGCCCCCAAAAGTTGTACAATGCTGAAAGAGCGTACCTCAATTCCCTAGAGAAAGCAGAGAGTAGTGATCCAGGGAAGGATTTATACCCAGTGGCCTTTTCAGAACTAGTTGTCTACATCATGGATAGCAAAATCATCACCACGGAAGCAACACCGGTTGTATTTCGGCTTTCTGACCTAGCCTCACCCTACAAGCTTCGCTTGGAACAGCTTGGGGTTGATTCCCTGAATGTCCACTCTACCAGGTTGAAGGAACAGATACTTGCTCGGATTCCAGAACTTGAAGCCCATAAAAAGGGACGTGATGTACTCCTTGCCTTCAAAGCGAACATAGGAACAGTGCTCCATGAAACTAGCCAGTATAGAAATGCTCTCCATCTATCTAAGGCAGCAGATATCCTGAGAAAAGAAATGCTCCAGCACAAGACAAAATTCAGCAGCGAGCTCAAAGATGGCTTTGGTGAGGAGACTATCCTACCTGCACTTCTTCAGTTCGTGTGCAGCATTGAACATGGTGTTGATATAAAAACACATCTGACGCACGGAATAGCGAAGTCAGACTTAAATATTGCTCAGCTTTTACAGTTCAACTGCTACTCAAAACGTAGAGAAGGATTGACAATTCAAATACATTCTAAAGACCGTGTGACCCCTTTTGCTGTCTATGTTGGGTTGGAGGTGTGCGCCAAGACACGAAAAAGAGAGTTAATTAACAAATTCCATGAGCATGGACTAAACATATCGTATGACAGGGTATTAGAGATATCCGGCAAGCTTGGTGAAACTGTGATAAAACAGTATGTCGAAGAAGATGTTGTGTTCCCACCAGTGCTGCGTAAAGGGCTGTTCACTACGGCCGCTGTCGACAACATTGATCACAATCCCACGGCCACCACAGCTAGCACCTCATTCCATGGTACAAGTATTTCCATGTTCCAGCACCCAAGTAAGGAAAACAGAGAACAGCGGGTTTCACCGAAAATAACAGACAGTAGGACAAGAAAGGTTCCTGAGCTTCCAGAGGATTATACAAACATCGCGCCAGCCTACTTCAAGAAGAACCCAACCCCAGCCTCAGTAGATGAAGTATCACTGTCTGACCACAGTCTCTTCCAAAGAAACATAAGAGTCGAATACGAATGGTTGGAAAAGTTCAAGGTACCACCGATGTAGATGATGAATCCAATATAACATGGTCAGCTCATCATGCGAGCCAGAAACGGACTAGCGAATGTGAAACCAGCATCACTTCCTTGCTACCTCTTCTCCGAGATCAAGCTCACAGCGTTGCCACAATAAAGTATGCCATGAAGAAAGTAAGGGAAGCTGTAGCATTTCTTAACCCAGGGCAAACTTCCGTCCTGGCAGCTGATCAACCATTCTATTCCATGGCAAAAGAAATACAGTGGTACTGGCCAGAGGAATATAGAGAAGTTTGGTGGGCTTCACATTGAGATGACAGCACTGAAGTCTATTGGGTCGATGCTAGCAGACAGTGGATGGACAAGTGCACTTGTTGAAGCTGATGTAGCCTCTTCCGGAACTGCAGATTCATTCCTGTCGGCAACCAATGTCACTAAAACACGTCAAGCACATCAGGTCACAGCATGCAGTTTGTTTCAGCTCCTGAAGAAAGTTTACAGTTCGTACCTTGCCGAACATTCTGATGGCGATGAGGAGGCCTCCAGCTTTGTGGAATGGTGTGATAGTCGAAAGAAGGAGAGTCCACAGTTCGCATTTTGGTTCTCTATCCTGAACATGGAATTGTCAGTCTTAACACTGGTGCGAGCATTTAGAGAAGGGAATTTCAATCTGTATCGAGAATCACTGTCGGAACTGATACCCTACCTCTTTGCCAACGACAGTGTCAACTATGCAAGATGGCTTCCTATTCATCTGCGTGATATGATATCATTAGAGAAGCAGCACCCTAAGGTCGCCAGAGAATTCCACAATGGGAATTTTGTGGTTCATAAAACTGACAATAAGTTCTCCGCAATGGCAATCGACCAAGTCCATGAACAAAACAATGCCGTTATGAAAGGAGATGGGGGAGCTGTTCGTCTGACAGAGGATCCATCAGCTCTTCGGAGGTGGATGGTGGCTGGTCCAGAAATTAGCAAATTCGTTGCTGACTATGAAGCCGTATCAGGAAGCAAAGAGGCGAAGAAAGGAAGTCATCACCATGAGCAGTCGCCAACTGCTCAGAAGGCATTCTTTGAAAAGGTTCAGCGGCTTACAAGTGTGATAGAAGAAATGGGCAATCCATTTTCGGAGGAGTCCACTGATGTACTGTCGCTTTATACTAAGGACATTACTGATCTTACAGCAGCGCTGCTGGTTGCCTCTCATCTGGAGAAAGGGAAAGAGCAATTCCAAATATTCATGGATAAATTCAAGACCGACAGTCAGCATTTCTATCAGCCAATCAAGCGGAATAATAAAGGCTTCTTCAAAACAAGCACAGATTCAACAGAAAAATCGGAAGCACAGCTACTAAAGAGGGATTGTCAACTGTTCTCCAGCCTTTTCATCTCTTGCCAAAGCAGAGGGTGTGATTTACCAGAGTTTTTCAAACACGAGAACCAATCTTTCCCTCCGTCACTCAGCAAGCGAGGCAAACTACATGTCGCTACCAAGTCTGATCTCGTGGACGTCCTGCAAACCAAGGGGGAGCTTCCAGAAACTGACGTACTCATAGCAGATGGTGCATTTCTAGTCAATACAGTAACGCCTAGGACACCGAAGACGTTTGAAGAATATGCCAGACAGGATATTCTTCCTAAGGTGCAATACTACAGTAGCAATTACAAGAGAACAGATATCATTTTTTATGTCTATCACGAGCCTAGTCTGAAGTCTGAAGCACGATCAAAACGCGGGAAATCTATCAGGAGGAGAGTAACGGCAATGAGAAAAACACCGACTAATTGGAAGAGCTTTCTAAGGAACAACGCCAACAAAACAGAGCTGTTGAATTTTCTTGCTGATGAAGTGGGTAAAATGCTCACAACGAATGAAGTAATTGTAACACAAGAGGAAAATTCTCTACCAAGTTCCAGCCATCCTGATACTAAGATAGACGAACTGGCTCCTTGCACACATGAAGAGGCAGATACCCGGATATTTTTGCATGCCTGGAATGCGGCTAAGGATGGACACAAGTCTCTCATGATTGAAGCTAATGACACGGGCATTGTAGTCATAAGCCTGATGTCTTCTTTCAGTGCAATGGGCATGGAGAAAATGTGGATCGCCTATGGCAAGGGGGAGCACACTCGATGGATCCCAATACACAACCTTGCATCTTCTTTGGGACCGGAAAAAACGAAGGGATACTATTCTTCCATGTATTTTCCGGGTGTGATGTGGTATCTGGATTCAATGGCAAAGGGGAAAAAAGCATGGCAGACATGCCTCGGCTACATTTGCGAAACTCAGCCACTGTCCTCCTGAAATTAATGAGTTTGATCCTCAAGTTCTATTTGTTGTTCTGATGTATAACCGGTCAAGTGCTTCTACTACAGTAGATGAAACAAGGTTAGATATCTTTGCCAGGAAGCAGAGGTCATACGAATTAATCCTGCCAACACAAGGAGCGCTAAAGGAACATGCCAAACGTGCTACCTTCCAAGCAGGACATATCTGGGGGCAGTCCGTCGTTCGTGATCCAGAGCTTCCGTGTTCTTCCAAGTGGGGATGGTTGAAAGACGGTAACAAATGGAAAGTTGCCTGGACTTCCTTGGAACCAATTTCTAAAAGCTGTCGTGAATTGACAAAGTGCGGATGTAAGATAAAATGTGGTGGAGGACGATGCAAGTGCTCAAAGGTTGGAACAGGCTGTACTCCGCTTTGCAGTTGCCCTTGTGAGATTTAGTAAACAACAACGAATGAACTTCGGACTGGACTTTCGTCGCCGGTTCTTGGAAGGTTAGCCTATTGAAATTCAAATGCAGAGAGTTGTAAGAATATATATGACCTGTAGATATTTTCTCAGATATGGACAATTTCCATGCTGGGTATTAGCACAGAAAGTAATTTTGACGTTGAATTGGACATTTCATCAGGATTGTAAATGTCAACTTTAAATCATTTCATGTAATTATCCACCGTTGGGTATGGGTGCTATATCATGCCAAATCAATTGAAACAGTGCAATCATTGAGTTCTCTCACTCAGATTTAGAATTGATACGGCAATAAATCAAAAATATTTCAAATTCAACTAATTTAATGATTTCAGATCAAAATCATAAAACAGAGGCCCGTTTGGCAGCCAACTTGAAAAATGGCCGCCATGTTGAATTTTTTTCGTGGCTAGCACGTTTTTCTGAATAAGTGACCTATCGGGAACACTCATGCCAAATTTCATGCTTATCTCACAATTTGCATGTTTCTACCAAAAATTTACATTTTCCTGCTCCACTATAATAGCAGCCTAAATTAATGTGAAAAGGAGATTATGGGTTAAAATAAACCCAAATTACTTTCCCAATGAGATTATGGATTAATAACAGCCCAAATTGTTACCCAAAGCAGATTATGGGTTAATAGCAACCCAAATTATTATCCAAAGAGATTATGGGTCAGTAGCAGCAAAAATTGTTATCAAAAGGAGATTGTGGGTTTATCAGTCAGTGAAGTGCTCCGCTTTGGCGATCATGTATCTATCGATACATAACTGACGAGGCATATTTTTTCCGAAGTAAGTTGCCATTTTTCCTGCGGTAGACTGACTGTCAACCAAGGATAAAAACCCAGTCTGTCCTGCTATTGAACCCATAGCAGAAGTGAGAATAAATGAATTCAAACCTTTCCCAAGGGTACATGTTAATCTAACGAAGTAGGCTGGAATTTGAACTCGGATCTCCAAGCCAATATCCATTACACCACAACATCCAAGATTAATATCGGCTAATAGCAGCGCTAATTATTATCCAAAAGAGATTATGGGCTAATAAGAATCTATTTTAGTATCCAATAGAGATTATGGATTAATAGCAGCCCAAATTCTTATCCAAATGAGATTATGGGTTAACAATAGGCAAAATTATTATCCAAAGAAGATTAAGGGCTAACAGCAGCCCAAATTATTATCCAAAGACATTATGGGTCAATAGCAACAAAAATTATTATCCAAAGGAGATTATCGGTCATTAGAAACACAAGTTATTATCTAAAGTAGATTATTAGTCAATAGCAAAATAAATGTCCCATTAGTATACAAGAATACAAACGAACTACGGTCACACGTGCTGTTAAAACGATTTTTCTTTTGGAGGGGTAATCTAAAAATAAGTTATTTACTTTGAAAATTACAAATGAAGTTAAAATATTAATTAGAAAATACAGAAAGAAAAACCACACGGCAATTGTGGGAAAACAAATTCTTCTACATACAAATGGCAACTCGTATTCACTTATGCTGGCTTCGAATCTCATGGTCAGTTAGTGAATTATTGAAGCTGACTTTTTATCATCATGCCTCTGCATTACAAAGACCACTGAACTAGGGAGGGGTCCCCTTCCTCAACAGTGGAACATGTCGACTTTGCTTTCCAATAAAATAAAACAGACAACGTGAAAAGAAATACAGCCAAATATTTCCTCGCTTCTCTGCATTTTTATCTAGCAAAATAAATGTCCCACTAGTAAAAAAGAATACAAATGAGCCAAATTATTATCCAAAGGAGATTATGGGATAATAGCAGCCCAAATTAATATCCAAATATTATAGGTTAATAGCTGCCCAAATTATTATCCAAAGAATATTATGGGTTAATAGCAACACAGATTATTATCCAGAGGAGATTATTAGTCAATAGCAACGCAAATTGTTATAAAAGATTATGAGTTAATAGCAGCCCAAATGATTATCCAAAGGAGATTATGGATTAATCGCTACCCAAAGTATTATCCTATGAGATTATGGGTTAATAGCAGCTCAAATTATTGTAAAATGGAGATAGATTAATATCAGATCAAATTATTTATCAATAGCAACATAAATTATTATCCAAAGGAGATTATGGGTTAACGGCAGCTCAAATTGTTATTCAAAGTAGATTATGGATTAGTTGCGCTTGAGATGTGTACCCGTTGTAAAGAATCCAATGACAGGTAAATATATAAACACTCAACCCAGAAAGAATAAAGTCTCTTAAATTGACACGGGTGCACGTTCGGAGAAAGCCCCAAAAGCTACACACTCACTGGCCGAAGTTGACTGATGGTGTCTCGAGTAAAATGAACTATAATGTTACATATAAGCGCTCAAGTCTCGTATTTCATATATATATATATATATATATATATATGTGTGTGTGTGTGTGTGTGTGTGTGTGTGTGTGTGTGTCTGTGTGTGTGTGTGTGTGTGTGTGTGTGTGTGTGTGTGTGTGTAAGTATTTGTGAATACCTATGTTTGAGGAAACGCCCTTTTTCTTTGTCAGCAAAATAAATTAAGCCCCACGACCTGTGCATTCGATAGACTTAATCATGAAAATGCTGGAAATTAGATACTTATTTTTTAAGTCTCTCTAATGCCCAGACAGATAGACCTATTTCATACTGTTGAACAAAATAAAACAGGTCGTTTACCCAAACAATGGGTATCCACAAATATAACGACGCCGATTTTTTTGTTCTTTTTAAAATAGTAAAATTAATAACAACAGATCGACAGGTTCTACTAAAGAAAAATGGTACAATCCGGCCGGAATCGAATCAGTACCTCTTTTCAATCAAAGAAACCACTTCTTTATCTGAAGTCTGCTGTTACCAGTTTGGCCATGGAAGACCATTTAGATAGAATAATGTGTGAATGACCTATTTAACCAATTCACATCTCACGTTGGGACTTCTACACATTTATATCTGCTAACTTCCTTTTTTTAACAGTAGTTTTAAATGGATTTTTTAATCTGACATTATTTTTTTTAATCATTTCTAGCAAGGAATGCCACTAGTACGCAGGGGTTTACGGGGAGTGAAAGTGAGTATAAGGATGTCTGAGGAAAGGACAAAAGACGAACGGAATTTCAAGAAGACAAAAGATGACGATTGATGTTGCATTTGCATTTTTGAAGACTGCAGTAAACGGAAGGGAGTTCCACAGGCGGGAAGAGCGAGAAAAGAAACTGTCGGTTACATGTAGCTATTTCTATAGTAAGAGGGTCAGACCTAGATGCTAATCTAGTAGTACGTTTAAATTCATGTAGTCGGGGCACCAGGGGAAAAAAGCTCGTCAGAGCAGTTGCCACGAAAATATATGTAGAAAAGACAGAGGGAAGCCATGTCACATCAATGAGAAAGTGACTGAAGTTGAGATGCCAAGTCAGGATCGATTACATTACAGATCCTTTTTTTTATTTATTTATTTATTTATATTGTATTTATTTATTTATTTTATTTTATTTTGTCAAGTACCTCGAGATGAATAGCAGGAGTACCAAACCAGATATGGTAACAGTATTCATTGCACGGACTAATGGAAGATTTATAAATTTGAAAGATGGACTCTGATGGAAAAAAAAATTTTTTGGTTCGACACAGTGACTCAACTTTCCTTGCAATAGATACAGCTATTGATTACATGTAGTCACTCCACTTCAAGTCAGTTGAAAACGTAAGGCCAAGAAATCGTAGAGTGTTGCTCTCCAGGAGGCTAGCGTCAGTCAGCCAGGCTGATGGCGGGTAAAAAGTTTCACTATGGTAGTTAAGTGAGACCAGTTTTGTTTTTGTTTTTTGTTTTTTTTTTTTTGGGGGGGGGTATATCTTATTACAAGATATGTGCTCTCCTATTATATAAAATCCCTGATGGCTCCGTTGTCAGACTATTTTCTCTTCCTAGAAAAGCTTTTATTAACCAGGCGAGGTTTTGTAGTTTTCTGTTTACAGAATGAACCGGGTCGTACATTATATTGATTCAATGTCAAACAAATTCGATTTGTCTTCCTATTCGAACAATTAACGATAAGCATTAATCCCCTACGTAAACGGATTCGTTGCTAATACCTAGAAACAAGTTTTCTTCCTGGTAACAAAGAAAACTCAAGTTCCCGATTTATTTAAACTTAATGAACTAGGAAAGTACACCACCTAATATTCTTCTTCCGTGTGATGTATCCACGTAGTGATCATGGCCCTCTACAATTTCCTGATATTTGGAGCGCTTAATAAATTGTGTCTTTTTGCTATCTCTCCGGAACATTATTCCGGCTATCATTTACACAAGCTCATTATTCTTCTTCTATGTACCCTGTCCCTTCAGGATGTTAGCGATCATGGCTCTCCACAATTTCCGGTCCTTTGTAAACCTTTTTCCGAGATCCATTCACTCAATCCCTCTATTCCTTTTGCCTTCAATCGGCCCTGTGAGTATCAATTTTTCTAAGCCCACCTTCCTCATTATATGCTCTGGAAATTTCAGCTGCCTCTTTCAGATGTTAATTATAAGTG